TGGATAGATCAAAGCAACTGGATATGTTGATTGACATTACATTTGAATAGTTGATTATAGCTCTCAGGGAAACTGGAAATGGGAAGGGAGTTCCTCAGGCGAGAGGTGCGAGATATGAAGCTATTGGAGTAGAAGAGACGGCTACATTTAATAGTTTCGACAATGAAAGGGTGAGAGCGGGATGCCAGCCTCGTAGGGCGCTTGAATTCATGAAATCTGGGAACCAGCGAATGCAGCTCCTCAGAGCAATTACCATGAAAGAATTTTTAAAAAAGACAGAAAGAGGCGACAGTGCGTTTGTGGGAGAGCGACTGTAGACGAGATGCCAGAACAGGGCCAATTATATTGCATATCCGCCTCTGGATCTTATCAAGAACCCCAAGGCAAACAGAAGGGGCTCCAAGCAAGGGCGTATTGTTGATTTGTAGATCTGGAGGATCGATTCCGGTGAGAAAAATTTCCTGGCGCGGCACAGGGAGCCAACATTCCTTGCGGTGGACGAAGCAATTGACTCAATGTATTTGTTCCATCTCAGGTCAGCAGTCAACGTGAGATCGAGCAGCCGCAGAGAGGTGGTCTCGAGAAGTTGAGCGTCAGACATTCTAATGGAGGCCAGGGAAGAATCTCTGTGGGGATTAATAGGGAGCAGTTTTGTTTTTCAGGTATTAAAGTTGACCAGCAAATTCCTGCCTCCGTTCACTACCGATTGGAGGTACGGCCAGGTTAGTTTTGTCAGCAACACTAGAAGCAGGAGTAAATTGTGGTGTCATCCGCGTAGATGCCAACTTGGGAATTTATGGCGTCAGGAACGTCATTTATGTAGATAAGAAATAGAGTGGGGTCTAGGATGGAGCCTTGAGGAACACCTACGTTTGTGGGATAGGAACTGGAGGAGAATCCGTTGAAAACGACCTTCAATTCACGGTTTGACAGGAATTATTGTATTAGGTCAAACAATCGACCCGTAATACCATAACCCTGGAGCATGCGAAGAAGGCCGGCATGCCAAACCCTATCAAACGCTTTGAAGATGACTAGAGCCACGGTACGAGCTTTCCCCTTTATTTTGAAGAGCTTGGTAGACAGTTTCAGTGATGGTCGTGAACACATCAGCTGTAGATCGGGCAAAGCGGAAGCCGTATTGTTTGTCTGAGAGCAGATAATGGGATTTAAGGTGGTTAATCACTTCGGTATTGATTAGGGCTTCGAAGACTTTACCGAAGAATGGTAGGAGACTGATCGGACGGTAATTAGAAGGGTCAGAGGGGTCGCCAGAGTTCTTGAAGACAGGAAAAATCGAAGAGGATTTCTAGCAATCAGGAAAACAAGATTCCTTGTGGGCAGTAGTTATATAGTTTAGAGAGGGCAGGCGCCAGTTCAGGCGCGCATTTCTTCAAGACAATGGCTGGTATCCCATCCCCACCACTAGCCTTGTTGGGGTCTAAATTGGAGATAATGCCCAATACCAAAGACGGGGTTATGTGTAACCCATTCAATAGGGCCTCAGTTCTAAGAGGGAAGTCGGGTATGTGTATATCGGAAGAGTCAAGCGTTGAGTTGAATGAAAATTTCCGAGCAAAGCATTATCTGCAGAGGAGATCAGGACTTCGAACTGGTTGAACAAAGAGGTATAGAGAGTTTGCAATTGTTCAGTACGCTCTTGCAGAGACGCCAATAATCTTTGGAGCCAAATTTGCGAGATGCAATACGCTCCTTCATCTGAGCAGCAAATAGTGACTTAGCATCGTTGAGAACACGCTTACACTCGTTACGGGCGGAGGCAAAGAGACGTCTATTGCAGTCCGACATGTCGCTTCGAAATAGGTGAAAGAAGTGGTTCCTATGGGCAATGGCCGCTGAGCAAGCAGCGGAGAAGCAAGGGGAGGAGCGCGACTTGACTCTATATTTCCTTGAGGGGATGAAAGCGTCGATTCCAGCTTTAACCCAGGAAGAGACCTCAGAAGCACATTCTTGGACTGGGAGCGTAAAGACAGGAATTATTGTATTATTGTCCCAGGGGACATCGCGGAGGAAATCCCGGAACGAGTCCGAGTCAGCTCGTTGATAGTAGAACGAAGTTCTAGTGGTAGGAGGTTCTTTGCAGGGGTGTGGAGTTGAAGGAGATGTTAACAGATACTACAGCATGATCAGAGTTACCAAGAGGGCAGAGTTGCGTGGCGCTACAAGACCTTGGGATGGAGGTAAATCACAGAGCGAGAAGAGAGGCTTTACCTTCCCGGTTGAAGGCAAAACGGGTGGGGAAGTTAACTATCTGCGTGAGGGATTGAGAGACTGAAAAATTCAACGTTTGAATGCCTGCGTGGTCAGTAAGTAGCATTCTTAAGCCACTTGGTATGATGGGCGTTAAAGTCGCCAAACACAAATATGTGAGCAAACGGGTGGAGGGAGAAAGCCTCGTCCATGCTGTCAGAAATGCTATCGAGTATCCCACAGTCTTGAGAGGATGGAGAGCGGTAAAGGAAGAAGAGATAGCTTACAGCATTGAGAAGAAATAGTCGGAGACACATGTACGACTGCTCTGGCGATTCGAGAGACAAATCACTGGCCAGAGGGAGATGGTCCTTGATGTAGACACCAAGGACGTGCATGTGGGTTAGAGAGTCTTTTCTGAGGAGAGGAAGGTAGCCTAGGATCGAGAGATCAGAGGAAGGGATAGACGAGACAAGGTTGGTCGCACAGATAGCCAGTATATCCGGGCAGTTTGCAGTGAGGAAAGATTCCATACTGCAGAAGTTTGTTCTAATGCCACGGATGTTGGAGAACGAAATGTTGAGGGGTTTAGGTGATTTTTGAGGGGATGGTTTAGGATTACTTTTTCGGTCTTTGTAAGTCATCATGTGGAATTATGGTTGGAAGATGAGAAGGCCCGAAGTAAAAGAAGCAGACAGTTATCGACCGTGACGAGGACAGAGAGGAGTTGGCACAGCCTGCATCATAATATGGTCTCAGGGTTGCCCACCGGAGGTGACTGCAGGGACACCTTTTCATGCGCGACATGGCACTACAAACAACCCGGTATTATACAACTGTTGATCAGAGCGGCCGCTCAAGACGCTACGCAAGAGTTAGGGCTGCTAACTACCAGTCGGAAACAGCAACCAGAGAACTGTCAACCGTGTACCCTCACAATGAAGAGGTAATACCACAGACTGCACACATCACGGGAGAAAGAGCTGCACTAGTACGGAGGCCAGAGAGAGAGAGAGAGAGAGAGAGAGAGAGAAAGAAAGAGAGAGAATACCGGGAAGCCCTTCCTAAACAAGAAACAAGGTGTGAGCCTCTACTCATGTCCAAGAGGAGGGGGAGGAGTGTTGACCGGGCGGTAGGAAAGCCTACCTACTCCTATTTATAATGGTATTTCAGCATACAGGACACGTATAAAATACTCATGGGATATATGCAAAGAACCTGTATAAAGCAACGAAAAAAACAAACAAAGAACAAGAGGCTAAATGGAATAACTGAATGACATTTCTAGATAAGATATATATATCCCCACTATATTTTGATATTTTGTAAAGTTTGGGAAGGATCATGAACATTCGAATAGTTCTTTAGACGAAATAACGTTTCTTATATACAAATCAGATAAGGAAAGATCATGAACAACAAAAATGTTTTATTAGTTGCTAGTAGTGTATATTCTTTTTTAATTTTAAAAGTATTAAGCAAAATCGGTTAATTTTTTGACAATGTTTGCCACGCTAACCCCAACCATAAAAATAACCTTGACTATAAAACTAAATTATATATATATATATATATATATATATATATATATATATATATATATATATTATTGAAAATTTTATATATATATAATTTTCAAAGGTCAAGTTTGCTTTTGTTTCTTCTTTAATACAGCAATAGCAACAGCTGCGTAAATCAGAGTTATTTGTTACCTCCCTTTGGTATCTTGTACTCCATCATAGCTTCTTGCTTTCCAGTCATCATTCATCTTCAAACATTTAAATGCTATGTCAACCGTTATCTCCTGTCTTCCTGATTACACTTTTATTGTTCTCGTTCAATTTTCGTTTGTGGAACTCTCTCCCGGCTTCTTGCTTTCCAGTCAACTTTGATCTTCAAACATTTAAATGCCATGTCAACCGTTATCTACACTCTTCCTGATTACACTTCTATTGTTCTCGCTCAATTTTCGCTTGTGATACTCTCTTCCGGATTCTTGCTTTCCAATTAACTTTGATCTTCAAAACTTTAAATGCAATGTCAATCGTTATCTCCTGTCATTTTAATTTATTTTATCTTATTGTACTTGTTCCTTAATAATGTTTTCTTTTACTTATTTTTTCACACTTAGTGGCTTTATTGCCTTGCTTGGGATGAAATGATTAAAAACAAAGAAGATTCGATGTATTAAAACTAATCTTAATTTCCTCGACTATTTGCAATCATTGCTGGCAGTTCCTTTGAAATAACATATTGGCAATTACTATTGTGAAGTCAATAGGCTAATATACTGAGACCAAATCATGAAAATTGTCGACACTGGCCATTAATAAATGGACAGTTCAAGTGAGCGAAGGGTATTAATTGGTCAGAACAGCATTTTGATAAGAGATCGGTGAACAGGAATTGCATCGCAATGGCGGATAGATGAAAGAATCCGCGTTAATGAATTGAGTCCTAGCTTTAATTCCTCAAAGAGATTCCGTCAGCAAGATCAGGCTGAGCAATTCTCGGCACTTGACATAATTTCCGATTTGAGTTGAATAGCCGTTGCGAAATATCTAAGACTTGAAATCATTTCATAGGGATGCGTGAGGAATTATTTTGGATTTTGATGAAGAAATACACACACACACATATATATATATATATATATATATATATATATATATATATATATATATATATATATATATATAAATGGAAATATTTTTTGAATGTCGTTACCAAGAGTAAGTAATTTTAAGCTTCAGAATGCAATAGCTAAATAGACAGATGTATACAAACAGTTATAGGTATGAAGCGAGTGAGATAGATAGATAGATAGATAGATAGATAGATAGATAGATAGATAGATAGATAGATAGATATGAACAGAATGACAGATTTATAGATTTAAAAACTGAGATTGATAGATAATGGACTGAGTGAGATAGACAGGTAGTTATGAAGAGCTTGTGATAGATAGATAGATAGATAGATAGATAGATAGATAGATAGATATGAAGAGATATATAGATAGATAGATAAATGTGAAGAGACTAAGAGATAGATAGATAGATAGATAGATAGATAGATAGATAGATGACTGGTTTATAAATCCGGAGATAGATAGATAGATAGATAGATAGATATATAGATAGATAGATAGATAGATAGATAGATAGAGATGTGAAGAGATTGTGATAGATAGATGATGAAGATAGATAAGATATATATATATATATATATATATATATATATATATATATATATATAGATAGATAGATAGATAGATAGATAGATAGATAGATAGATAGATAGATAGATGACTGGTTTATAATCCGAAGGAGATAGATAGATAGATAGATAGATAGATAGATAGATAGATGACTGATTATCCGAAGACAGACAGACAGATAGATAGATAGATAGATAGATAGATAGATAGATAGATAGATAGATAGATAGATAGATAGATGTATGAAGCGACTTAAGACGAAAGAAAGTGAAAATATATAAATGAAAATGATAGAAGGACTAAAATGAAATAGAGGCAAAGATAAATTCTATATTGAGATATAGATTTCATCTGTCCATTTTGAGATACGCACTCCAGCTATGTGAGCGTGTGTGCATGAGTGTGCATGCACGCGCGTCTGTGAGTACACTGCTATCTGTGGTTCTGTGTCTGTGTGTTGTTGCTCATGTTCCATGATACTCTTTCCATGTCTTCTTCATCTGATCTTTCACACTTTATATTCATATTTTCTCTGCTGTGTCCGTGTGTCCGTCCGCCTCTCTCTCTCTGCTCGGTCTTTTCCGTTTTAAAAGGCTTTTCAAAACACCAACTTAATATGCAGAAGCCAGAAAATGGCAGCGATTTTAAAAGAAAAAAAGAAGAGGTAAAACGAATTCATAATTTAAAAAATTAAAACTTTACGACAGCGAGAGTTAATCAGCTTTTTCCTTATTTTATATTTTTGTACATTAAGTGTACTAGTAAAATCATATTTTTGCAACCAAGTGGAGGATGATTCTTGGTCATTATTCTCTCTCTCTCTCTCTCTCTCTCTCTATATATATATATATATATATATATATATATATATATATATATATATATAATTAAAATATAGTTTTATGGTATACTATATTTATTGGTCAATATCACCGGATGTAAATATAAAAAACTGGACAATGAAGTCAACACCAAGGGCAACAGGCCGTTTATTGCTTCATCGCATACGTCAGGCAATGCATGTTGTGCTTTCTATCAAATATATAGTAATCAGTTGTGCATTATGGTTCGTGAGGTCTATTCTAACCGTCATATGTTGTCATCCATTGACGGACTGATTCGCAGTATCACAGCTCATCAGTGTAGCTAGACATCCGATTGCCTCAAGCCAGGATCGAAACTTGACTGATTTAGCATCAGTCGGAGATTTTTTTTCCTCTAAGCTATCAGCTCCCGACACAGAGGAAGGTGAATTTTTAGGTATTTTTATTTTTTAATAAATACGTCATTGACTCAGAGTGCTCGATTCATAGAAAAGCTTTGCAATATCAGCATTAGTAGTCACTGTTTACAAATTCATGCTTACCCTCTAAAGTGCTCGACCGAATTTTATGTATATTCAAAATATATTGTTTAATATAACAGACAATATATGTCGATTATGTCTTATCATGAGCCGTTCTAAGGTTCGTAAGCTTGCTTAAATTTCGGGGGAAAATAAAGCAAACATACGAACGTTGTGACCAGATTGAAATGTAATTTTGTTGAGTGTGTTTTGCTTTGTTTTAATATAGGTAGCCTCCATCTATTATCTATCTATCTATCTATCTATCTATCTATATATATATATATATATATATATATATATATATATATATATATATATATATATGATCGAAATAAAGTGTAAAATTTAATATTACAAGACATATTAAAACAATATTAAATAATAAAAAAAAACACTCAACAACAAGGGGGGGAAGCAACCGGTTTCGCTCCCGCTCATCAGGCGAAACCGGTTGCTTCCCCCCTTGTTGTTGAGTGTGTGTTTTTTTTTTATTATTATTATTTAATATTGTTATAATATGTCTTGTAATATTAAATTTTACACTTTTTATTTCGATCATTAAATTTTGCACCTATAAAAATATCTTTTAAATATATATATATATATATATATATGTAAATAAATATATATATATATATATATATATATATATATATATATATATATATATATATATATGATAAAATAATGAACTAATGGGAAAACGTACAATTGATTTTATCGTCCTGCCGGATTCCGATCCATATTTATTTAACATTAGATCTACTCCAACGGCTTCTTCTCTCGCACTTCCCGACAGTGGAACTCCCTTCCACTTACTTGCTTTTCTGATAGCTATAATCTTCAAATATTCATATGTACTGTCAATCGACATCTTCTGATGCCTCGATCTTGACCCCCGTCCTTCTCTATATCCTTATATCCTTTCCTCAAATCCACCTCTTTACTCTTACTTTCACCTCTCTGTAACCCCTTGTGTGCGAGTGCCACTCCCGCCTTGCTTGGGGTGAAACGCTTAAAAATTTAACTCGTATATATATATATATATATATATATATATATATATATATGTGTGTGTGTGTGTGTGTGTAACTTTATGGAAATCTGCGCACCGATACACAACCACGAAGACATACGAGTTTATCTGATTGAGAATCTGCAAGAACACTGGATAGGACAAAGAGGAGTAGTTGAGTCCCCCACCCAGGGTCTTATGATTTAAAACCTGCAAAATTTTACCTATAGGGGACTCTAAACGATATTCTGTATCACAGAAAAAAAAAAACGAATATATTGGTTCTTAGCAAAAGTAAAAGCCAAATTGGAGATACCCAAATCAAACAAGCGCAATAATTTAAATACATAGTCTGCCAATAAAATGTATACACACTTTAGGAATTTAAAAACTTACCTTTCGCAGGTTTTTTTAGACTTTTACCTGCGGGAGACCCTATAGGATGATATGCATCGCAGAAAACCAACTGCATTCTTAAATAAGAATTTGAAAAAAATACACATGTGCACCACCCTACACGCAAGCCAACAATCTGTCACTGGGTGGCTATACCACTAGCGTTTACCACTAGAGGCCCGCCGGTGGCTGCCACGAGAAGATCACTGGCGTTGACATCGGCGGGCCACTAGCGTCTTGCATATAGGGCAAGTCCACTGGACACTTTGGTCAGCGTTGCCCCATGCATTAGTTTGCCGTACTAGTAAATGTCTGGAAGACCAACATTTTCAGCATTTCATGTTACAGTAAAGTCCAAAGTTAGATTGTGTTAATCTTGTGACAGCTGAATAAATTTAGTATTACAGAATTTATATATCATTTTCCTTTCCTAAGTTGTATACATTGTTTAGCGGACTTTTTATAGGATATGTATGAATTCTATATTGTTTTCAATGATTTCGCATGTAAATTCTATTGTTTGTTACGTAATCCAAATTTTTGCTTATCAAAATAATTATTAAACGTGAAATGGCATTTCTGCCGTCTCATCACCAAACAATACTTTAATGCGTCGAAATCTTTATTTTATTATTAAGAGGAAACCAAAGGATCTTTTTTTATTATATATTTTTATACTATATTTTAATTATATTTATATAATTTTATATTATATTTTATTTGTTAATTATATTTTATTTATTATATATTTATAATATTTTATTATATTTATTATATATATATTTTTATATTTTATTCATTAATTATATTTTATTTATTTTATATTATATTTTATTATATTTATTATATATATATTTATTATATTTTATTTATTAATTATATTTTATTTATTAATTATATTTTATTTATTATATATTCATTACATTTTATAATATTTATTATATTTTATTTGTTAATTATATTTTTATTATTTTATATATTTTATATATTTTATTATATATTTTTTGATACATTTTAGAACGTTCAAAATTTTGGTTAATTCTCTTTTCTTGTGTCAGCCGTCGCAGTGGGTTGAGATGGGGGATAATTATTTTATCGTTGTTTTTTTTTTGCGGTGACAAACACAGTGCTTTGCAAATTCTTGCAAAATCAAAGAACTCTCGGATTTTTATGAAACTTTCAGGACTTTTAGAAATGTTCCTTTTTTAGATCATTTTGGTAAAATATTTTTGTTTTACATCTCTTAACACCTACCTATTTAATTTTATGAAATTTCGAGCAATTGGTTTTTGTGCAGCTTAATGTGTTTTCTTTTAGTGATACACAGAAATCATTGGAGAATATAAATAATCAATTTTCTTTTTGTAAAACAGGACCCTCAGTTAGCTGAATTGAAACGTCAAATTAAAAAAGCAATAAAACTAAGACATTATTCAATTAGAAAAACTATTAAAATCTTTTATATATGTATATGATATATTATGGACATTATTGTTCCAAGCATTCATTTTTTCGATCAAAAATGAATTTTTACGAGAATGCTTTGTTTGTTTTTCACTTTAATTATAATAAATTATAAAGTGTTTCACCTTATAATCATGAATGTAAAAAACTTGCCACAATTCAGCTACCAGCAATATTTTTAAAATGATTTTAATTTTTATTTTTGTAAATACGCATGTCCATACACGACATTATTAGAAAATAAAAGCTATAACTATAATAAATTTAAAGCCAAAATACTTAAAATTTAATACACCACTAGATTACAAAAAATATTTTACTAAATTTTTAAGATTACTAGGTAGTTTAAATTATATAAAAAAAAAGTCGCTCACGTTAATTTGGTCAAGTAATTTTTACAGATATGTCCCCCGTAGAAAAAAAAAGATAAACGTCCGGCTGCCAATATTTAAATAGAGTTCTCAACACCTAATCAAAATACCTCTTTGTGAAAATAAATTTCTGTGACATTTTTAACTCAAATTAATATTTGTTTCGAAACATATTAATTAAACTCTAAATCAGCGAATATTCCTAAATTACAGAAAAATATCTTTTATTTTTGAAAGACATTTGATAAAAAAAATTCCATTGTGCTTATAGATGGCACTAAAATCAGCGATTTTTAGCGATTGAAAATATATTTGCTGTCGATTTAAATTAGATTTGAAGTAGAGCAATGTACTTTCGTTATAAGTTACTCAGGTTAACAAAAGATAGGAAGTTGTGGAGAAGCATTATCGCCTACTACCTTAAGAGGCAGGAATAAGTGTCGTTATTTTTAGGGTTTAATTTTTTTTTAAGTCATGAGAAATTTATTTATTGAAAAAAAAGTTTGAACAAAGTAACTATAAACATTATTTTTCTATCCTCTGCCAGCTGCAATGATGGAGAAAGCATTACCTTGAACCATGGCCAGTGAGACACGCTGCAAGAGCCACTCTGTTTCGCAAGGCTCATCCCTTAATCGAGATGCAATCGCGCCAATCCTCCGAAGGAACGCCATCGAACGAGGGCCAATAACCCCTGAAGTCTCCACTGCCACAGGAGTAAAAGAAATCTATCAGCAAGAGAAGAATATTTAACTATTTTTTTCATCTCTGCATCCCGGGCAACAGACCCCTGTTCAACCGTGGACCTGATCAAATTACCGGTCGAAAATGTATCCTCACAGGTCGCATCCCAAATCAAACACTTCCCCATTTTAAAAGGGAAAAATTAAGTTTTTTTTTTCTTTACAAATTTATAATTTTACTGCTCGCCCTAGAGCATGTTTTTATCAAATTGAACAGTAAGGGAATATATTATTCTAATGTTATTCTAATGTCCGATTTCATACTTCATTTTTTTAAACCAATTCACTCCAAGCAAGGCGATGATGCCACTAAGACGCAAGGAACAAAGAGAATGATAAGAA